TGGGAAGATGAGGCTGCTCCCGGAATGGCTTCTCTTGCTCTTTGGTCCGTGGCTCCTGAAGAAGGTAAGGGCAGCAGGGCTGCAACGCGAGCCCCAGGGTCCTGGACGCAAAGGTCCCAGAGTGCGAGGGGCTCCTTGAGCCCGCCCCACACATCCCAGCAAAGCGCGGCGTGGGGGATGCCGACACACTCCCCATCCAGAACAGGCGCTCTCCCAGCACAAGTTGGCTGGGGGTCGGGTTCAGGGAAAGGGGTGGAGGCCGGACTTGGATCTGGCACGGGGCGCGGCGGGGGAGGGGACGAAGCACGACCCGAGAGTGCGCCAGACGGAGCGGGAGTGCGAGACAGACAGACAAGCCAGCAGGGTGTCAGCCTTGCCGCCTTGCAGCGCCAGTCTCGCTCGCCACCCTCGCTGTCTGTCCTTCCACCCCTCCACTTGCGCCTTCGCATTTCTCTTCTCTGCACTTGTCACCACGCCAGGTGGGCAGCGTGTTCCGAATGTACACGGCCCGAACACACGCGCGCACACACGGACGCACACAGATGCGGCCGAACTTGGCTACAATCTCCCATCACATTTCCCACGGAGACACCATCTCCCCTGCACCACCTCACAGACACACCCCTCTCTGGAGCCGGTTGATAGGGGGTAGGGGCTGTCTGGAAGGGGAGTCTCTCCTTCCGTCTCCTCCGTGCCCCCACCTCCCTGGGCTGACTCTTTCCCTGAGGCTCCTCGGTGAGGACTCGGAGGCTAAGGGAGCCCAGACTTGATCTGCCTCCCTCCTGACTTGGAAGCTTCAACTGGAGTACACGGTGTGCTCATCTGTGCTGGTGTAGCGTGTGGGGCAGCTTGTGCACCTGTGTACATGTGTGCGTCAGGGACAGCCAGGCTTGTGTGTCTAGTGCTAGGCACCATGTTTGTGTATGCTGGTATGGTGTGTGGTGTTGGCTTTGAAGGGGTGAGTGCAAGTGCCTGCCTCACAGCGCAGCCATCTGTGCCCCACTGAGTGTCCCACAGTGGGGACCTAGGCCCTGGCCTCCAGTCTCCCTCAATTAGCTCCCCTGCCCATGACTTCTGTTTTCTGCACCCCAACTGTAACCTAGCTAGTCTGGGGGCAGGCAGGTGGCTTCCTAAATCCCTACTCCCTGCACCCAACCCCCAGCCCAGAAGAGTCTGGAAGGGGTATAGTTCTGCCCCCAACACTTGGACCCCTCCACCTGCTCAGCCAGATCACACTCAGCTGCTCCAGCAGGGCAGGGGGTGCCCAGTGAAGCTGGCAATTGAGCTTCTTGATTCTCCCAAACCATCCTGGTGACCTTGAGGGGCCGGAAGGTAGGCAGAGGAGCCCCCTCCACAGAAACTGCTCCCACCAGATGGAACTTCTTTTGGACTCGCTGCTCATCTCTGCCCTTAGAGGACT